AAGGGATTCCCCTCCCTTCCCTTTCTTCCTACCTTTTCCCCTGCAAACCATGAGTATTTCCCCAGGAACAAGGAGAATTGTTTCAGTTGTCCAGGAAGCTGTTCCAAGTATGAAGGCTTCAGTTTTTCCTGGGAGAGAGGTAAAAAAGAAAGTGAGAACAGCTGCCAGCATCTACACGTGAATCAGGGCATGGGTTAGTGATAGACACTTAGTGGCCCCTTCTCTAGGTGCTTTCCTCTCACTGATTCAGGTAGGGGTGGCAGGATAGAAAAGAGGGGTTTGGAAAGGAAAAGGGGCTAACACCAAGGTTATATGACAAACAAATCCCCCCCAAATAAGAGTTTTGTTTCCTATTCTGACACACTTGGTGGGAAGGGAGCAGCAGCAGAATGGAGCAGAATTAATAGTTAGGTCCCTAAATGTTCCTTTTTCTTGATGCCTTCCTGCTAAGGAAACTGACATGGTCAGGGCTGTAGCAGATTCGTGCCAGCTGCATGCGAAAATCCATTATTTGGTTCTCCATGATGTCCACTCGAATCTTTTCTTCTTCAGTATCACCACCTATAGGCCAAAGGACAAGAAATCACCCTTGGCATTACCCACTCCCAGGTGAGCAGCCCTCACCTCACCAGCCCCACCCCCACTCACACATATTGTACTTGCGAGCAATGTAGCGCAAGATGGCATTGCTCTGGGTGATCTTGTTCTTTCCATCCATGAGATAGGGCAGCTGGAAGGAAAAGGACAAGAGAAGGAGAGAAAACCACTTGGCTCTCTCTTGCCTCCCTGCCTCTCTCTCCAGGGGAAGACAAGACTTGTAGGGAAGTGAACAGTAGAGAAAAGATGCTGTGTTAGGAGAAAGAAGAAAATAAGCAGAAGGTAGCAACTGAATCCCCACCTAATTCTAGACAGGGGTGCTTAATCTGCATGTGTGTATGGGTATGTGCATGCTAAGGACTCTTTCTCAGCATAAAGTTTCTAAATGCATAAAGCAAGTTACATATCTTTACACAACCTATAAAACATTAAAGGAACAAAATTGTAAGCATAATAAATGACTATGAATACATTAAATAACAAGATGTAATAACTTCCATAATTTCAAAGTATGATAAATGTAAATAACATTTATAGTATCTGCAACACATGTAATACAATAGGAAAATATCCAATTTCTACTAGTGACAAAGTCATAGGTATGGCTAATAATCAATGTCACTTACTGCCTATATTCACAGCAGAAGGAACCATTAACTTTTAGTTAGCAGTTGGTGGAAATGAAAATGTCATTTTTTTCTCCATCCAAGTTCAAGGACTCCTGAATTCTATCCATTCTACTCAGGTTAAGAGCCCCTTTTCTAGATTTCCACCAAGAGTAGAGAGAAAAGAAGCAAGGATATACTTGAAGGCCTTCCCTTCCGCCCCCTCTTCTCCTAAAGCCACTTACGTTAGGAAAGTCCAGGTCTAGTTTGAATTTCACATCCAGCCACTGGCTTTTATCATAGTCAGGAGCTGTAAGAAAGAATGAAATGAGGTCCAACCTCCTTAATATCCCACCCGAGGAGAGTGAAAAGGTATGAAGACACAACCTAATTCCAATACCTCACATACCCAGGCCCTAAAAGCTTAACCATTATCCATTAAGTATTAAGACAGGGTTGGGCTACGGCAGAGGGAGAATCCCCATCTCCAGTAAAGGATGCTGACACACAGGACACAGCAGTGAGCTCCCAGGTGACTGTGGCAAAAGTCCCACCAGACCAGGGTGACGCCACCCTCAGGGCACAAAAGATAGGGTCAGTTGGAGGGCCTGCCTGGCTTAGCTCGGCGTCGCACGGGCAGCCAGAGCGGCATTACCTTCCCCGCACGTGTAACGTTTCTCTTCATAAGATGTATCCGTGAACTCCAAGAGCATGCGGATTGCATGAGCCAGCTTGGGGAGAAAAGCCCCCGCCCCTCGTCAGCGCCAGCGCGGTTCCTACCGTCCCCCCAACCCCCGCCCGCCAACGTCCCCGCCCCACTCCGGCCCAGGGCTGCATCCTGCCCATCTAAGCGGTCGTTAAGCGGCCCCCGAGACCGACCGGAGGCTTGCTGCCCGCGGGCCCTGCGATCCCAGAGGCGGGGCAGGGGTCGGCCTCCGTCTCTCGGGAGCTAACTTGGTTGGGGCCGGCCGCACAGCGTAGCGCATCGCGGCGAAAGAGGCTTGGGTCCCGAATGGCGCCGCTTCTCTGAGACCGCTGACCATGGGCCTCGACCACCTCCGCGGCCGTCTCCCGACAGGCGGCTCAACGGTTGGGACCTCACTCACCCCGCGAATATCCCAGTAACCCAAAACCACAGCCGACTTGCACGACGACATGACTACGTCGCTTGGGTCCCGGCGAGAACTGGCAATACAACCCCCACGGGCAGAGCTTTATAACCAACGTAAGTAGGCGGGGCCAACGTGTGCTCCTGACTCCGCCCCCACGTCCTCGTGGCTCCTTCTGCGTGTCCGCCTGGGCAGGTACGGGGGCGACTTCTGTAGGCCCTGGGTTTGGGATGGGCGACCCCGAGGCGGGAGGAGAGAGGCTGGTGAGCCTAAGGCCTGCGTCTGGGGCTTTGCCTTCTCCACACGTGAAGCCGCACTGTTTGTTAATAGTGCCAATTAGAGTGGGGCGAGCGCTAACAGCCCAGGTGGTGAGAAAAGTGGGATTCAGGCATATATATTTATGGATCGTGGGTGAGGGGATTTGGGGGAGGTGAACAAGCACTGGGATCTACTGAGACTGACCACCAGGGAATCTCTATCTTCGGTGTGTGCGCGGAGGGGGATGGGGGAGGAGTCTGCAGTACTTGGTAGATTTCTGGCCTGGCCTCCACAGCATGGCCATTTAGGACATGGAGCCCCTAGGCCCCCTCTCCTAGATTTGGAAAATTACATTTCCCCTTTAGTTTGGCTGGAACAAAGATGAAACTTTTTAAAAGGACGTTTCATGTAGAGAAGAAAGGGGAAAAAAGTACAAACGCATAAGGACAAGTGAATCTATAATGCCTGGATTTCTCCCAAGATAACAACAGTCCAGTCATGAGTTAACTTGGAACATGAGACTAACACTTACTGAACAACTCTGATATATAAGCAATATACTGGGCAATTAGTCTAGGTATTTCATATATGTTAGCAAGTTTATTCCAATTTAAGCTTAACAACAACTTTGTGAAGTAGGCTTTATGCCTATTTTATAGAGGATTAGCGAAGCCTGTCAGGAGGTTGGGTGAGTTGTCTTTCTAAGCTCAAGTTTCCATGGGTGGTCTAGGATTCAAACCTAGGTCTGTCTAATGGCACAGTTTGTGCTGGTTCCCCTGCACTTGGATATCCAGGCAGCCTCATCTCATCTCAGTCTTTACTGGGAACCCTAAGGAGCAAGCACGTGGCTAAAACATTTTGTTTTTCTGGTCCTGGAAGGTTTCCCTGTTTCTAGGACTGTTTCACCTCCATGAAGCCCCAGAAGGCAATATGTCTATATCTCTTCTCTCCATCCCCCCAAATTAACTTTTCTGGTTAATTTTTGCCCTTGACAGTCAGATGCTAAGGGTCTCACCTTTGTTCTGTTTGGTAAGGAAAAATGTTTACTTTCCTGTTTAGTGTTACCAGCTAGGAGAGGTGATTTTTCTGAGAGCAGGAACTTGAGGGAATGACAGGTAGTGGAAAAATAGGATATTCTAGGGCCCATGACAGTGTTACGGTCATGGACAAATTCAGCTAAGAGAGACTTAGGGGAACATCTTGAGAATCCTCAAAAGGCCCTCAATCCATAGGTTCATTAAGCCTTATCTATAGATTAAATCAATGAAAGTAGTCTCTGTTATGTGGGGAGGGGAGTCTCCGACAGTTATGAGGTTAAAGAAGGCTATGTATGCCAAATATTTGAAGCCACAGACAGTCCACACTTGTCATTTAACCTCTGAGAAAACAGGGACCCGGAGAGTGAAACAGCTTGTCAGATTGGTGGACGGTCAACTTTCAGTCCAATATTTTCTATGCTCCGCCACTAAAGAGACAAGATGGGGAAAGGGCTCAAAGTTAGCTCACCTAATAGGAGGGGACAAAAGGATTAAAAGAGAAAGTTGGCAAGTAGATCTTGGACCACATGTTGTGCTTTTTAGTGCTTCTGTGGATCATTAGCCGGTACAGCTGATCAAAATTGACCACTGTCAGTCCCAGTACTCTTTGCTCCTGTGAAGGGTGGTGCCCTCAGCTGTGGTGGGTGCCATGGAATATACTGGGAGACACGTACAAAGGAGGATAAAGATGTGGAGTATAGCCTTATGTTGAAGTTTAGAAAGTCTGGAGTGTTTGGGCCATAATTCTCAGATTCTGACTCTCAGCTCCAGTGAATTCCCACTCACATTCAAACATTCTGGCCCAGTGGTGGATGTAGGACTGCTGCTCTTCATGCCCAATGTCCCAGCTCCTCCCGACTCCCTGCCTCTGGCCTCCATTAGGGCCAGAAGAGGCTGCAAGAGAAGCACACGACAAACTTGAAGATACTTTTATTGGGGAGGAAAGGGACTAAACAGAATCCTGACAAATCTAGGCATAAGTGCTCCAGGCTCAGAAAAAAGATGCAATAAATAGGTGGTAACTGGAGAGAGCTCTCAACAGTGAGAAGGGGCACCATTTGTCTCAGCCTCTAGGCTCTCATCCTCTTTGCTGTATGAGCTGGAGTATGGGGTTTACTGCAACCTGGGGACCTGAAAGAGGAATTCGTAGAGCTCTAAAGAGTATCAGATCCACCATCTTGCTTGTGAGAGAGCCTTGGTCTTTGAGGTGCCTGAGGTGGTGCCTAAGGGCTCATCTGAGGAAAGAAAAGGATTGGGATGAGGCTGGTGCCGGTTGAGGGAGCCCAGAGCTCATGCTAACAATCAGCTGTGAGCTTCAAGGTGTGCCTGAGCACATGAAGTCAAGCCCCTGGGGGACTTTCCTGTGCCCAGACCTGCCACACTGAGTGCCACCCCAGGGTTGGGCCTGCTGGCTTGTGTGCCTGGCACTCTCATTCAGAAAGCACCCCACATTTCCAGTGGGGGGTCAGGACCCCAGGGTGTCCTCACCCCCAGCGTCCTTCTGACAGCCTCCAACCGTGCCAGGACCCGTGGGGCCTCCTGTGGACACAGCATCTGTAGCTCCCCGGGTCTCATGTGAAGCAGCTGGCTCCCCATCAGGGACCCGAGGGTCTTCACCGTGCTGGGGGCAAAAACCCAGCAGAAACTGTCAGTGGTAGGGTAGGAGGACCCAGGCCTGGGTATCTGGGTGGAGAAGGGGCTGTTTGGGCTTGGAGGCTGGGGTTATAGGAGAATTCGTGGAATAGGGTATTTGGAGGTGAGGGAGTAAGATACACAAACTGGCTTAAACCAATTTCAGAACTCCTAGGGTTGAAGACAGAGGTGCCCTGGAAGGGACTCTTGTGGTGGGGAAGAGTGTCTGGCAGCTGGGGTTGGCTCCAACCCTGCTCCCTTCCCCACAGCTTGGGCTCCTAATTTAGTGCACTGATGGAGGCATGGCTCGTCCCCTCTTCTGCTCTCTTTAACTCAGCCGAGGTAGCATTGCCACACGGTAGCACCTGTGGGTCTTTCTTGCACCGTGTAGACCAGGTTGTATGTTCTGGGTCTCCGGGGTTCCTGGGCCATTATCTGAGCCCTTTACAGAGGTTCTCCCATTGCACCCCGTGGGTCTAGGCACTCACACAGTAGAGAAGTTCTCTGCTTGCAGCCAGGCAGTGACCTCCTCAGGCCTTGAGTTAGGTCGAAGCACTGGAGCCTAGAATCAGGGGAACTGGGGGTCAGAGGCCATCTCATCTCAGAGCCACCCACAACCCCCTGTCATCTGGGTCCCTTCTCTGGGCTTCCATCAAATCCCTTTTCTCACTCCATGGTTTACTTGTCTGGCAGGCTTTTTCTCTGCCCTGGCCCCATGATAAGCTGGCAAACAGTAAGCATGCGATAATACTGATTAAATTGAATAAGGACCATCTCCTCCACTTGTCACTGAATCCTCCCTGCCCCTAATTTTGACTTGGGTTCCTTGTAGCTTCTGATAGTCTCTGCTGGGTAGTACCTGAAGGGGTGACTCGCTCTGGCTCCTGGGGGTCCCCGATTGTAGGGGCTCCAGGATATTGCTGGGGATGTAGCCACTCTGCCCCATCTCATTCTTCACCAGCCACCACCGCTTGCTCTGGTCCAGAATCTGCCGAGAGTCACTACATCAGTCACCTGAGCCTCTGTCCAGTCAGCCTTCCCCCTCCCCCACCAGGCTTTCTCCCTCCTGGCCCTTCCCCACAGTCCTTTTCCCCCTCTAGGCCACCCACCCCAGCAGCCCCATACCCGAGCACCCACCCCAGGCTCCCGGTAGCTCCCACCAACCACCACGTCCTTTTCTTGGCTCAAGCCGCAGCCTCACCTCAAGCACCTCTCCCTGGACCACAGTCAATTCCTGTGGGTTCCTAGCTTCAAACTCATATAGGACCTGCATTTTCAGGGTTGGCTTGACAGATCCAGGTCTGGATGGCACAAGGTCGGGGCCATGGTTGTTTGTCTCCTCTTGAGCAAAGTGTGAGGTGCTCCCTAACCTAGGGCTTCCCATCCCGCCACCCCCAGAGTCAGAGTCAGGATGGCTGGAGAGTGGGGCCTCAGCCCCAGAGCCCCAGCTGTCTTCCGCCCGGAGTCTGGTGATGACTTTGGGATTCCACCGAGTTTAATGGAAGGTCATTGTTAGTTGGGCTTGGAGTGTGAGTTTCTATAGGCAGAAGGGATCTGAAATAATGTGGATTTCTGAAGACTCTTTCGGGAGTGGGATTTTCTGTATCTGAGCTCTCAAATGAGCATTTTATACCCAAACTCTGGGAAATCAGAGGTGTGTATGGGGAGTATTGAGAGAAGAAGGGATTGGAGCCTGGGAAGGTAAAAAAAATGCCTTTTCATCCAAAGTAGGGGAGGGATGTACTTGTATATGTATGTGTTGGATCGAAAGAGAGCCCGGGGGGCAGTGAGATGTCAAATCCACAGATCCACAGGATCAGCCCTGTCCCTCCCTGCCCAGAACCACACAGTCCTGACTAAGCCCAGGGCATACCGGAGGGAATCAGGGTCCTGGTATCTCGAGTGTGCCTGCAGGGGCAAAACAGAGGAAGAGCAGGATGTCAGCCTGCGTGGTGATCGGGAGGTGAGGTGTGAGACCCCAGACCCACTTGCACATGGCTGCCTTATATCCCCTCTCCTGTCTGCCCACCACACATACCCACCTACCACTTAGTTGTCATGTGACTATGGTTCGGACTGAGAGGGCAGAAACTAGCCAGAGACTAGGGTTTTGAGTAGGGCTCTGTGCTAAGCTCCCCTTACCTGGTAGGAAGGTTCTGGAAGCTGCCAACCATCATAGAATGTGGGTTTGTAGGGCAGGGGCTCACTGCCTGTCCAGTTGGCCCTGGGGAGAGAACAAAACTGAGTCCACTCTGTGCCAGGCTGTGGAGAGGGAGATGATGGGGCTTAGCCCCAGGGGTCTTCTAGAGAATGGAGGACATGGCCCCCCTGCACAAAGGAAAGGCTCCGGGACACCCACATAGGAGCGAAGAGCCAAGCATGAACAAATCCCATGGTGCAGGGACCTGTGGGCCAGCCTCACCTCTGCCCGTGAGAATGCAGATATATCAACACCATAAAAACACGCTGGGTACTGGATCTCACTGAGCCAGGCGGTTTGAATTAAAGCGGTAGAACCACAGAGTGGTAGGACTGAAAGACCCCACCCTGGGGTCCCGTGCGGTATTTTTCTAAACTTGTTTTTAGTTTCCCAGCAGCAGATCTCTTTCTAGCCAGCTAGTGTGGGGAACTCTGCCTTGTGATCACAGCAGAGCGCTCTGGCTGCCTCTAGCATGCAGGCTGGTTCTTGCCTCAGCCTCCCCGCCTCCTCGTTGCCCAGGACCCAGGAGGAGTGGTGCTATTTGTGGCCTCCCTGTTCTGCTTGGGTTATCCTGCCCTTCCAGCCTGGGGAACGCCAACTCCCCTCCTTGAGGAAGTCCCCTCCCCGCCTGGCTGCTGATCTCCAGACACCCTGCTCTACTCTCGTGATTCTCACACGTCTGCGTTTCTTACGCTGTTGAACTCCTTGAGCGCTGTATCCTGACTACAGTGCATGGTACAGAGGAGGCAGCTAATAAGCATGTAGCAGTGGGGACAAAGAAATTATTCCCCCTTCTGAATCTTTTAAATTGGCTCCTTTTCTTTGCCCTAAAAATGTGTTCAAGTCTCCTCTTGACCTTGTTACTACTCCTTTTAAGCTATTGTTTTACCTTCTCTGTCAGATTTTTTGGGAATATGTCCATATGCCCTGCCAATATTTTCTTAATTCTAGTTCTTTCATTATGCCTTGCAACCTGATTTTTACCTCTGCCGTTTCTCTATTGAAACTAGTTCTTCTGAAGTCCTAATTGGGGCAGGGGGGAGTATAGGTCAGTAATAGAGCGTGTGCCCAGTGTGTATGCCTGCATGAGGTCCTGGGTTCAGTCCCAGTACCTCCACTGAAAAAAACACAAAGTTCTGATATAATCTCCTGATTGCCAAACCCAATGGCCTTGTATGGTCTACACGCCCCTGGATTACCACAGAATTTAGTGTTATTTGTAGCCTTGGGTCAATTTGCCTAAAATCATCACCTGAATTTAATTTGCCTGAAATTCAACTCTCGAGGTTTTTTCCATCTCTTTAGTTATTTTATTTCCTGTTTCTGTCTTTCTTTTCATTCATTCATTTTTTGGTTATTTTAAGAAATTAGAAAAAATCTTAGGGTACATCAGACTTAATTTTGTATTTAAAATAATAAATAGAGACAGAAAATAGAATAGAGGTGACCAGGGGCTGGGAAAAGAGAGGAATGGGGACAGAGTTTTGGTTAATTTTTTAATGGATATAGAGTTTCTATTTAGGATGCTGAGAAGTTCTGGAAATGAACAGTGGTGATAGTTGCACAACCTTGTTAATGTATTTAATGTCATTGAATTATACACTTAAAAGTGGTTAGAATGGTCAATTTTATCCTATGTATATTCTACCACAGTAAGAGAAATAGATTACATTAAATTATAATTCATATCTTTAGGTGGAGTGGACATAAAAATCCTTTAATGGGGCTGCTTGGAAAAAAATAATCATTAGGTAAAAAAAACTTCTAGAACTAGTGACTTATTTCCCAGTTGATTTCTCTTTCTAAAACCCTTTTTTGGATTTCATGCTTCTGCTTTTTTCTTCTCCTTTTAACTCTGGAATTTCTCTTTGCCTCCTTCACCCCTTTTCCTTTCACCACCTACATGCAGAAGTTTCCCCAGGCCCGTCTCATGGGGAGAGCAGAGCGTGCTTGTTAAAGTGAGCTCTGGGGCTCCCACTGCAGTGCTTACCTCCAGGTGGCCCCAGCTGTCACCTCTCTACTGACTGTTCTCAAACCCATGTAGCCAGGTCGGACCTCTCCCCTGAAGGCCAGGCTGTCCGTCTTTGTGGAATGTTCTGCTGACGTCTCAGCTCAGCACATCCAAATTGGTTTCATCCCCCTCCACCCGCCACGTCTCCCGTCAGTGGGGCTCGCTGCCTGGCTGCCCATCTCACGGTTACACCCACGTGGAACAATATCTCTTTCTCTCTCAGCTCCTCGGCTGGTTGGTTGTGACTCTTTATTGATGTTATATTTGCAGCATCTCTTACGTCAGTAATTCTTAAGATCTGAACTGGACCGAGACAAAGTTTTCACTTTGTCCTTGACAAAATGAGAAAATATTTTAGTAGAAGGTTGCCAACTCTCCCCTCTTGGGACGGATTGCTCTTTTTTCCTGAGGTAATGCTTTCCTTCGGTGGTGGGAATTAAATTGTTTATACTTAGCTTAATAAAAAGTTGGGAACTCCAGGTGGAGTCCCCCAACTTGTTTTGAGATATTTCATAGACTAGAAGTTACCAGGGGCCGGGGAGAGGGAGGAATGGGCTGAGTTTTGTTTGGCTGTTTAATGGGTACAGAATTTCTGTTTGTGTTGCGATACAATGTAGAGCCTGCCACCTCTGATGTCCTGCCCTATGCCCCTATGCCGCTTGCCCCCGATTCATTCAGGCCTTGTCGTCACTCACCGGCTGGTGGTCCAGGCCACTCCCAGCCCCTCCCAGAGGTTCCTCTCAGGTGGGCTTAGACAGGACTGCAGCAGGTCAATGGCTTTGGTGGTGAGGAGCGGCGAGATCACTTGGGTTGCTAAGTTAGGTTCAGGGCACTGGGCCAGGATCTAGGGGAGGGATGGAAGGTGTCTGGAAGCCTAGGCTCCCACAGGGCCAAATGGGAATAGGAAAGGGCCCAGGGTCCCTGGCTTCCCACGTTTGCAATGCCACGTTACCACGTACACCTCCTCCCCACTGGTGCCCTTGGCTCCAACCCTGGCCTGTCTAGTCTGCTGAAGGGGTGCTATGCACAGTGGATATGGTGTCTTGGGGTCAAAAACCAGTGTGTATTCGGGTGAGCAAGGGGCAGACCCATAGCCTCCCTCTGCCCCCTGCCTACCCCCCAGCCTCTGTCCCATCTTAGTTTCAGCATGTCCCTCTTTACCACCCTGGCCTTGCCCAACTCACGGAATTCAGAATTTGGAAGAGGATGTGCACGAACTCAGGGGCACTTGTCTCCTGCAGTCTGATGGCCAGATTCCCCTAGGTACACAGGGTGAACCCTGTCACCACCCTTCCTCCCACCCAAGCTTCACCAGGACCCCAGGGTCCCAAAATTGTTCTGGGCCCTGGTTGGGAGCCTAATATTCTCCAAAAGTCCCAAGAGTGGGGAGGGAGGGTTCCAGAGGAAGAAACTAGAGGAGCTTGGGATGTCCATGAGACCAGAGAGGAGGGGCCTGCTGGGAGAGGGAGGGGGACGGGGAGCAGGGTTGGGGAGGGGGGAGAGCAGGCAAAGGGGCTGGGAAGCCACATACCAGGAGGTTGAAGCTGTACTTGATCTTCTGGAAGCAGTCGATGTAATGTGCCTCTGTTATCCCTACAGAGAAAAGAGAGAAGGTGGTGGGTCACAGATCATCCAAAGACTCTCCCCTACCCCTCCCCTGCCCTCAGCACTCACCTGCCTGATTCTTCTTCTTTTTTCTCCCCAGTCTCTTCTTCTTACGACTGGTCTTTGACTGGGCCTCCTTCAGCTTTCCCACAAACAGCTCGATATCCCTTAGGAGATGGTCCAGCACCTCCTGGACCCCAACAACCCATGGCCTGAGTGGGCAGTTATGCCCACCCTGGAACTCACAACCCCACCCTGCCCCTCCCAACCACAGGCCTGCGCTTCAGACCCAGCTCAGGGTCTGACCAAGCTTCTGTGTCCCTCCTCAGCCCAGGGCCTGCCTTGGCTGTCCTGGGACCTGGTTTCTTGGGGTGTGAGGGACGACTAGTGTCCTTCAGCCAGGCCTCAGCAAGCCCAAGACAATCTATAGTTACCTTATCCGATTCTGGGTCCTCGGGGGATGAGGACCGCTTCGGAGGAGGCAGAGTGAAGGCGCTGAGCTCTCTGCCGCTGGAGCGGTGTGGCAGGGGCTTTGGGGATGGGGGGATGCCTGCAGTGGAAGGGGACCATGGCCCAGAGCCTCTTTGCTCTTTGATTAGAACCCTCTCCTCCCACCGGCTCCCACGCCCAAACTTACTATGCTCTGGGGTCATCCAATAGGGCCATTCCGGAAGGGGCGCCTGCTCTGGAGTGGGTACCTGCTCCTTAGGGAGTGGCCTTTCCAGAGGAGGCCCTCTCCATCTGTCCTGGCCTGGGCGAAGGGCTCCAAATCGTGGTCTGCTGAGCACATGGTGGGGATACAGCCTTGATAAAGTTCTTAGAACAGAGGCTCTGCCCACACTTCTGACTCAGGACCGAGGAGCCCCACCAGCCCTGCTCCCTGATCTCCATCTGAACCCTTCTCTGACTCTCCCCTGTCTCACCTACTGCTCTCTGGGACCCATTGGTCCCATGTCAGTCTCTGGGGGCAGTTTCCAGTGTTGCTTGGGCTTAGCCCAAGCCCTAGCCCTTCCCCACGCCCATCTGTGCTCTGGCTCCAGCCTGGCCCCTCCCCAGGTCAATGCCTACATTATTGGACCACAGGCCCTGGACTCCCCTAGATGTGGGACAGGGTCTGGCCCATCCAGGCCTGAGCTCTGAGGTCCTGCGGGTGGGCTAGGCAGAGGCTGCCTACCTTTGCTCTAGTTCCTCCTCCAGAGCCTTCTGCAGGCTGGTCTGCAGTCGCTCTGCCTGGAGGAAACAGTTTTCAGGCAGGCGGTGGGGGTGGGGGGGTGGGGTGATGGTCGTTTGATCCCACACCCACTCTCTACCCAACCCCAGCCTTGGCCACTCACCCCCACTTCCTGGCACTGGAAGAGCAGAGTGCTGGTGCCTCGTAGGCCTGAATCCTTCACGGTGATGGACAGGACAGAGTTGTAGGAGCAGGTGTTGAGCGCCACGTCCATGACCTGGATGCTATCCAGGCGGTAAGACTCCAGGTCCTCCTGGACCAGGCAGAGAGTTTGGCTGTGAGGTCACTGAGAGCCAGGGTGGCTCCTGACCTGGGTTGCCCCATCCTTCTAGTGGCCCAGGGTGAGGTGTCATCTCCCCGATCCTTGTTTCGGTTTCTTCCTAGTCCTGGGTATGTGGGGTGGGTATTGTCTATGGGGAGGGGTGGCTGCCAGGTGGGGCGTGGGGGGATGGCATTCATGCCCGGTGTACAGGCTAGGTTAGCTATGACCCTTTGTGGGAAATGGTGGGAGGCTGACCTTTGTCTCGATGTCCAGCAGCTGAAGCCAGCCATCCCTGACCTGCAGAAGCAAGTCCTGACTCCACACCCGGCCCTGAGCATCCAACTCTTGCAGCTTCTGCAGGGCATCCTTGGGTTCCTGGACTCTCTGAGTCCCCAGCTTACATGTCATCAGGTGCTGAGGGGAGAGGAGGAGACCCAGGACTGGGAGAAAGTTTGGAAAGGGGGCATCACAGGTTGGGGTGAGGGAAAGGCAGCAGAGGAGGAAGACATGTCCCTGGTACCCTTGTGGGGAAGGTCACAGGCAATCCCCATAAAGCAGGCTTCAAGGGCCAATGTGAGGACCAGAGACGGTCAGGCTAGGATGGGGCCTCCAAGTCAGAGGCTGATGGGCTATAACAGGAGGGGGTTTAGGACTCTGGAGGGAGGACAGTCATGGTCTTTAACAGTCCAGGCCAGTTGAAGGCTACGTGGTGGTAGATGTGGGATTCAGTTACCCAACCAATGAAGTCTGAACTGGGTAGGATATAGGATGCTCAAATTCTGTCCCCTGATTCCTTGGCCCTCTTTGGGAATCACCATTCCAGCCTGGTCCTCACTAATCTTACGTTCTAGTCTCCATGCCTTTGCTCATGCTGTTCCCCATGCCCAGAATGTGTTTCCCACTTCTGCTAATCGATCACTTCCCAGCCCCTCAGGAAGAAGTCAAGCCCCCTCCCCTCCCTGATTCCTGCCCGGAGAGGTCCATACTGACCTCAGTCTCCACGCAGGCCCTTGTCCCCTGCTAGAGGCCCTTGTCCCCTGCTAGTCTGATCATTCCAGCAGGTTTTGCTGCTATTCTCCCACCTGCAGGAGACCCTTCCCTTCTCCCATCCAAATGCTGCCTTCACAAGTCGCAGTTCTGCCCCTCGCTCTCCCCTCCAGGCCCTTACTGGGAGGATGTGGTCTGCCTTATGCCCCTTGATCCCACCACCCTGTCCTCTGCAAAGCTCCCAGTTCACACAACTGGCATGTTCAGGGGCCCCTGACATCCTGAGCAAATGACCTGGCATCCTGAAGATGCCAGCTCTTGCTCTTGCCTGCTGGACATAAATGAAGTCAATTCCCAACCCCCACCTCCTCCAGGAAGCCTGGTGCTCCTGGCCCCAACCCAGCTGGCTAGTGGAGTCTGACTCTGCTGTCCTCTGGGGCCTCCAGACCATTGCTCCAGCATCCCTCCTGGCTTCTCCACGAAAGCCCTAAATCTGCTGCTGCCCAGGAGTGGCTTCTACCCAAGATCTTCAGCCTGACCATGTGACTGCTCTTTCCTGCCACACCCAGTCTGAGCTTTCACTGTGGTGTCAACGTCGCTTCAGGCAACTCGATCTGGCAGTGCCAATGTTGTTCTCCCAGGCAGGGCCAGAGCCTCCATTCCAGCCTCCAAGCTGCTCAAGCCTGCCCTGGGAGCTTAGGCCCAGACACCTCCCCTCTCAGATGGCAGTCCTTTCAAGTTCTCGCAGGGACCGCTGACCTCACACATTCCTTCCTACAGCTGTGCCAGATCCCGGGCAAAGAGCAGTTCCTGGGGCAAGGAGTGGGCCTGGAGACAGGCGGGGGTGGTGGCAGGTGCCTCTGGACCCATCCCTCAGCTACTTGTCCCTGTCTGGGGTTAGGACATTCCCCGGCTGAACCTCTAGGCTGGTCTCTGCCAATGCCCAGTTGCCTTGTCTTCCTACCGGCCCCATCCCCACCTCCCTGTGCTTAGCAGATGCTCAGTTAGACTCATGGGGCCCAAGCCCACCTGATCTAGCTTGGGTCAGGCTGTTGGCTCCAGTGGCAGTCTTGTCTAAGACATCTGTTTTTTTTTTGTCAGGGCGGTGGGCACATGGGAGAACTTGGGTTGAATTGGGAAATGGTCTGGGACCTCAGGGTTACTCACCTCCACCCTGTGCTGCAGATAGGCGGGCTCCGAGGCGAGGCTCTGTAAGTACTCCTTCCGGTGCACTGCCATGGCACAGAGCAAGTGGGTGGGGGCCAAAGGACGAGGTGAGACATACACAACTGTAGGGGGTGGTTGGCATGGGGAGAGAGATCGGAGAGCAGGGGGTTCGGGAGTTCAGTGGGAGGGAAGGGGAGAGGGCACTGGAGGGAGAGCTTACGGTAAATGGCTCTGCTGCTGGGCCGGGACATGTTGACGCTGCTGAGATGTCTCCCTAGAACCCAGACTGAATGGGAGAGAGAGCCGTCAGGGCTGCGGCGAGGGATGCCAGGGCAGAGCCAGGCCGGAGAGCTGTGATCACAGCCCGCCCCTGACTTCAGCCTAGGCTTGGACCAGGTGCTGACCTGGGGCCTCCAAGACCACTCCCAAAGCTCCCGGCTCCAGGGGTCTTTCTGGATCCATCTCCAGCTGTACCCTCCGCTGAGAAGCCCTCCATCTTGGCTGGGCCTGGGAGAGCCCCAGACAGGCTCCCAGCCTCCCATTATTTGGCCAATAAAGCTCATTCCGATGGGACTGTGGAAGCTGTGTGGACAGGCACTGGGACTAGATCCTGTCCTGGGCCTGAGTGTAAAAGATGCCAGATGGGTGTGCTGAGCTTCTAGAGGGAAGGTATTAAGTTCGGCAGCCTTCCCTGACGAAGCAAGCCTCTTGTCCAAGCCTGTTTCAATTCTGCAAATTGAGAAGTGGCCAATGTTGGCTCTTGTGCTGGGAACCTGCTCAGGGGGGATGTAAGTGTGTGCACCTGCACACATTTGTGTATTCATATTTATGATGGGGCTCTGTAGGATGTGTGAGTGATCTGCCCTCCCCCAAATGTCTTACCAAATCTTCTCTCTCTTTCCCTTTCCATACTCTGAACCTTCTGCCCAGAGTCCCTTCCCACCCAACCCTTTAAATTCCAGCTCATAGTAACAGACATTTTGCCAAAGAAGACATGCAGATGGCCAACAGGCACGTAAAAAGATGTTTAACATCACTAATTACTAGGGCAAGAGTGGCAAGTCATTATGTATAAAAACAGATTAAAAATGTTTTTCTGAATATCACGGGAAACTATATTCAATGTCTTATAATAACCTTTAATAGAAAAGAATACGGAAACAAATATATGTATGTATATGTATGACTGGGACATTATGCTGTATATCAGAGAGTGACACATTGTAACTGACTATACTTCAATAATAAAAAAAAGTGGCAAGTCAAAATTACGATGAGGTATCACTTCACAGCTGTCAGAATGGCTTTCATCAAAAAGTTAAGAAATAACAAGTTTTGGTGAAGATGTAAAGAAAAGGGAACCCTTGTGCACTGTTGATGGGAATGTAAATTGGTGCCGCTACTGTGGGAAACAGTATGGAGATTCCTCAGAAAGTTAAGAATTGAACTATCATATGATCCAGCAATCCCATGTTTGGTTATTTATCCAAAGAATATGAAAACACTAATTGAGAAAGATATATCCACCCCTACGCTCATCTTGGCATTATTTTCAATTCCCAAAATATGGAAACAACCCAAGTTGGATGGATAAGGAAGATGTGGTATATTCAATAGAATACCAGTCAGCCATAAAAAAAAATGAAATCTTGCCATTTTTGACAACATGGATGGACCTTGCAGGTATTATGCTAAATGAAATAAGCCAGGCAGAGAAAGACAAATATTGTATGATTCTGCTCATATGTAGAATATAAAAAACAAACAAAAAAACTAAAATAAATGAACAAACCAAATCACATAAAAACGTAGATACAGAGAACAAAGTAGTGGTTACCAGAGGGGAAGGGCAAAGTGGGTAAAAGGGATCATCTATATGGTGACGGATGGAAACTATAAACTTTTGGTGGCGAGCACGCTGGAGGGTATACAGAAGTAGAAACGTAGTGCTGTACACATGAAACTCACATAATGTTATAAACCAAGGTTACCTCAGTAGCAAATGAATCTAAATAAACAAACAGATTCCAGCTCAAGGATCACTGCCTCAGTGAAGCTCTCCTTGATTACCCGACTCCACCCTGCCCGCCCCCCCAGTGCCAGGCCAAATCTTGTACCTTCGTCTCTAACAACAACTACCCTGGTTAGTGCTGTGAGCCTGGTGCCAGGCCCCTTATAAACATTGTAGAGTTTAATTTGCACTATCATTGCTTATACTTCTTTAGCTCTGTGTGCTCAGCACTTTTCTACAGACTTGACCTCCACCAATTCATTTAATCCTCAAAACGACCTTGTTGGGTGGCTGCTGTATGTTCCATTTACCAGACGAGGAAGCTGAGGTTCAAAGAGGGTAACAGGACTGACGGCTCAAGTATTTGATAGAGAATGAACCCAGCTGTGTCTGACTGCAAACTCCATGCTTCAGCGGTTTAATTGTGTGTCTCTGTCACTGGGCTGTGCCTCCTGAGGCAGACTTATCTTGCCACCGCTGTCCCCCCCCCCCCGGTGCCTTCCTGGCACAGAGGGGTCTAGAATACATCTATGTTGAAACGGAATGGAGGTAAATGCGGTGTGTGCGTATGTGCAGGGTGTGGCAGGACTTGGCTGAGCGTGTGGGTCAAGTGTATGTGTCATTTTAATGAGGGGCGTATGCATCATGAATAAGGTGTCAGTTTCATGGGCATCCTTGCCTCTGCGTGGCGCATCTGAGTTGTACAGAAACCCTGGAATATCCCGGGCAAAGTGTCAGAGAGAAGCCCACACCCCTGTTATTAGTACTGTTATGAAAATAGCAGAGGATCTGATAAGATGACTCAGTGTTGGGGAAATGAGTTGCTAGTAAACAGTTAAGGGAGGCGGCTGGGTCTCTGTTTTCCTTGTTTGGGAGGACCCCTTTCCCCTGCAAGGGTAAGGGGTGCTAAGAGCCTGTTCCCTCTCCCCAGCTCCACCCCTCAGGCTGCAACACTTCCTGCTTCTCCATCCGGAAGACAAAGAGGGGAAAATGAGTGCCCCTCCCCAAGCACCAGCCCCTACCTCAGGTTGGTCCCTGCGGGTCTCTGTGGGCAGGTCCAGGGAAATACCTGCTGCTCAAGATCCCAACAATCCGGTGGGGAGTAGGGGGGAAGAGGGGAGGGAATCCTCAAGGTGGGGGTGGGGGTGGTGAAGGATTGGGAGTTGGAGGAGCGGGGCCTGGCTTTGACCTGTCTTTCCCCTGAGGGGGTGTCTGTGACAGCCCAGTTACCCAATTTGTCCCCAAATTTTGGGGCCTGGAGCAGGGAAGGCATCCGTGTCTACATCACGGACCCTGGGAGAAGCAGCCCAGAGATGCAGCTGGAACCTGGCCTCCCCCTGCCCCGCTTCCTACCAGCTAGCTGGCAGCTGAGTCTCAAGCCCTCCGTGGGCTTTCTCCTTCTGGCGACATCTGAGAATGGGCCAGAGACCCTGGCCAGGAAGCAACTGAATTGCCCCCACTGCCCTGCGATCCCCTGCGGCTCGGCTGGGCCCTGATCTGCCCGAGGGCCAGGCCCTTACCTGGGTTCCAGTGAGGCCTGGTGGCTGGTCCCCCAAAGGGGCAGGTGTTTGAGCTGGTGGTCTGGTGCTGGTGGTGGGAAGGCAGTGGCTTCTCTGCTAGTGGCGCGGCCACAGCGGAGGCCCCGACAGAGCAGGCAGGCCTTATGGAGATGAGGCCATGAGGCAGCCACACCTGTGCCCTTTGGACTCTGGTGGGTGGGGAGGGCTCCTGGGCCACCACCTGCCCAGCACTGAAGCCTGGACCCATGGCAGTGCCTGCGCCAATGGGCATCCCAAACCTTGCCAGGGGCCTCCGCTTTCCAGCTTCCTCCTCTGCTGGCCTCTGGCATTAGTGTGTGGCCCCCTCTCCCTCTGCCTTTAGGGTACCGCCTCGGAGGCCCCAGGTCAGCTTCAGGCCCTAGGGCTGGGACTAGAAGGAGAGACACCCACGGCTCACCTCGGGACAGTTTGGCTTCTGTGGTCAGGGTACATGTGGCTGGATGTGGCTTGGCGGGCTGGCGTGTACCTGTGTGTGCATGTGTGCGTGTGGGTGCATGATTGTGTGTGCCCAGGTGGTGTCTATGAGCGGGACGTAGATCTTGTAAGAGTAGATGGGCGCTGGGAACTGGGACCCCAGTGGGCATTAGGTGGAGGGCAGAAATTTCTCCCTGACACGGGCCACCTCATTCTGCCCTTTCTTTTGTCCCCTCCCGCCCTGCAGGGACCCCTCTCCCCCACCATCCTTGCTTTTCCACTCTTTCCTTCTGCACCCTGCCCCATGCTCTCAGACCTCTGGTTGAACCTGGCTGGCTTCAGCAAAGATGGGAAACTCAGGCCCGCCTCTGTCCCTGTTCTTGAACCTAACCATTTTTTGTGCTTCAGTTTACTTAAAAACCTCCCTTGGCACCCAGTTTGCCTGCCCTCTGGGAGCTCATAGTCTAACAAGGGAGGTAGGACATAAACAGAAACCAAGAGAGCAAAGCAGGAGGGGAGAGGTGGGAGGGAAGTGCGGGTGTGGTAGTGGTCTGGTGGCAGAGGCTCGGGCCCCGTACGTGTTAGGATCTGTGGTGGAGAGTCCTGCGGTCTGGGGTGGGGAGCCTATGTTCTGCACCCTCACCCTTGGCTTCCTTGGAGCCATCCCAGGTGTTCTCAGCTTACTCCCCTGCCCCTACCCCAGACCACACTGCCTGGAACGTCTGGAGTCCAGGGGTGGGATTCTGGCCAGGGGCCTTCCCCACCTGAGAGAGTCCAGTGGGCAGCCAGCTTTAGAGGCCCAGGGATCAGGTGCCCACTGGGCCAGCCCCCAGCCATGGCCTCATGGATACAGCTCTCCTGACCTCCCAGGATGCTCTGTTCCCTGGGTCTCAGTTTCTTGGTCTATTAGCTTCTTTCAGGATAGGACAGCCTATCCCTTTGTTACCTCCCCAATCCCAGCCCCAACTTCATCAAGGCTGTAGCCACATTCCAGCCCCATCTCTGGCCCGGGTGCCCAGCCAATACCATGTCCCTGCCCAGCTCAGGCCGGGCCCTGTCCTCCCCACAGGCCTCTCCCCGAGCCAGGGCAAGCACAGTGGGCACTTTGATGGAGGACTTGGGCAGGGGCTGGGGGAGGGGCACAGCCCACTGCAGAGACCCGTGTGAAACCTTCAAGCAGAGAAACAAGGAGCAGCGCCTTCCTCCTTAGCATCCTGCACCTGCAGGGCCCTGCAGGAGTGCCCTTGGGAGCAATGTGGTCTCCTCAGACAGGGGCCCTTTGCAGCTTGGCTGGGGCTGGGGCTGGGGCTTCCTCAGTGCCAGGCATTGTGAGCCACCCCAGGGAAGAGGAAAGGCCAGGCCACTCACCCCTGGGGATTAGGGGACCGTAACTGATCCTTCTGCACAAAGAAAGCTCCAGGTGGCAAAACAATTCTTTGGCAAAGTAGTCCTGGCTGGAGCACAGGGAGCCAGGACACAGGTGGGAGGGGAAGGAAGTAGGGACTCAAAGGCATCTTCTTGAATTACAAGGCTGTGAAGGCTGTGGGACCTCATTCATTCATTCATTTATTCACCTACTCACTTATTCATCCACCCCATAGCTGTATACTGAGGGCTTCCTGTCTGCCAGGCACTGTGCTAGATGCTGGGAGACACCTTGGAACTCAGCTTGAGTTCAGTATCCCTCTCCAAACCACCCAGCCCTTCCTCCCAGGTTCCCAGCTCAGCAAAGGCACCAACACCAGCCAGCCAAGCATCCAAGCAGGGCACTGGGGCGATCCCAAGTCCTCCTTCAGCCCCTACACCTGGCCCGTCACCCATCCTGTCAGACCTACCTCCTTAGCAAGTTCTTACAGACCCGTCTGCCAGCCCACTGCTACGGCCTGGACTCAGCCCTTTGTCAAACTGTCCACCTGTAACTGCGCAGCAGTCTTCCAACCCTCCCTGCCTCCAGTCTTGTTCTTTTTAGTCCTCTGTCCTCCTTGCAGAGAGGGCAACTTCCTTAACTGGAAATTTGAACACCCACTCCTCTGTCGAAAACCCGTCACTAACTC